GCATATATGTATATGCGTTTAGGCCCCTGCAGCTTTGGCGTGCGGCCTCGCACGCCAACGAAAATTGGCGTGCAGGCCTGCACGCCAACCTGCAGGGTATATCCCTGCAGGTCATTGGCGTGCGGCCCCGCACGCCAATTTTTGTTGGCGTGCAGGCACGCACGCCAATCCGCACCTGGCGTGCGCCAGGGGGGCTGGCGTGCGCCAGGGGGGCTGGCGTGCGTTTATCAACGCCCCCCCTCGCCCTCGCCTTCCTCGTTGTATTCCTTTACTGTCGCTGAGTCTCCTTATCACTGGTAATTTATGCAGGTGGCGCGATTAATGCAACGTCGATCCTATTCAGGCTACGCGAGCCTATTTGGTACTCCCTTCCCGAACACTTCCCCGATGAGCCGCTGCTCCTCTGCTTTTGTTCAATCTCTCCGACTCGCCGGACATCGACAACACTTGCTTAGGATTCTTTTACCGCGCCTGAGATTCTCCTTGACTATAAAAAGGCTGGTCCTCTCCTCACTATTTTTTTTTTTTCTCTTCTCATCGTCGATTTCCCTCTACCGCCTCTTAAGAATATGACCTCTCCCCATCCCCCTCACAGCTACTACTCCATCTCCTCTGACTACTCCCCTACCCAAGCGTTCGATGAAGATGGCGACTCTTTCACCTCCTTCGGATCGATCGAAACCCCCCCTCGCTTGCGAGCGATGATCCGATCGATTTTTGATGGTACTCTTAACTGTACGTCCATCTCCCTCCGTTTTCTTCTATCTTTTCAGCCCGGCTTGACTAACATCCCCCCTTGCGCGGCTCTAGCTCCCATTCGTTCTTTCCCGGATTCTGACTACGGCGACGCTAGCTCTCCTCTCGAAAGAGTGACCGATCACCGTAAGCATCCGTCTCTTTTTTTTTTATGCTTCGTTGTCCTGTCATGCTCTGCGTAGACTTATCTCTTCTACCCTTCGCGCAGTCTCCGCGGCAATCGTCGAGGAGGGAATGAACGAAGGTAAGTCTCAATCCTCTCGTCAATTTGTTACCCATAGTTGCCTGGCACCGATCGTAGTCTGTTTTTCTTCTAGGTGAAACGTTCGGCGATTATCGAGCTCGGTTGTTAGCTTCGATTCCTCCTTTGCCGTTAGATGGAGCAGCTATGGTGTACTCGTCCAATCAAGACGGAGAGTATGAACTGGATGATTGTGCGTGTTCCTCCTTCGATCCTTACTTATCCAATACTGATCTGATTTCTACCACGCTATCCTAGCCGTTGTTGCTCCTACCCCTCATACTGATCAAGAACATTATACCGCCGTCGTTGGTTCACCTGCTCCAGCCAGCCTTGGTTATGTTCCTGATGCGACAAACGGTGGGTACCTTTCTTGTTTCATATATATATATATATATATACCTCCTTGCAACTGTACACTGATGGCTCCAAACATTAGAGGTTGGCCAGGACGTTGGGTTGCTTGACCCAAACGATAACGGGGTTTTTCCTGTAGATCCTCGCTTGCAGCTTCCCTCCGAGGACGACGATCGATCGACTATAGGTACGCTGACTTCTTTTTTTTTCGTTTCCTTGAGAACGACCCCATGCACTGACCTCCGCCTGCTGTCTTTCCCCAGATTCCGTTTTCTCCTTGCTTGATCCTTACGAGGATCCCACCGATACTACTTATGTCCCCCCCAAGAAAAGCAAACAGTCCCGCGTCGGTCGCAAACGTTCTTCTGGATCTCTCCTAGCCAAACCCAAGGCTGCTTTTGTTCGTCCAAGGGACTCGAGAGGCCGTTTTGTTTCACTCCAATCTAGAAGTAAGCCAGCTGTAATTTCTATCTTTGTCATGTAGTTGTCGTCTAACCCGCATGTATGCTTTTTTTTCTTTTTTTTTTTTATAGATCCAGGCAAGTTGAAGGCCAATGATAATGATGACCAGCCCCTCCCGTCCTCGTCGTCCTCCTCCTTCCTTCACCGGGCTGTGGCGGATTCCAACCATCCTTATTTAGCAGAGACGGCCCGCAATACTTTCCTCAATACTGTACTAACGTCCCCAGAAGAGGCCTTTCCTTTTACCTTTCATCTTCCCGACCCGTTTGCAGCCCATTCCTCTCTTGCTGGCCCATCAGTCTTGGGGACCCACCCGTTCATTCCTCCTACCCCTTTTATCAATATTCGCCCTGACGATCCTCGTCTTCAATTTAGAACCGCTTTTGTGGATCTCCTCCGGGTCATTGTGCCCTTCCTTTCTAACTTCAACCTTGCCCCTGATGATCATGACAACTTTAAATTACTTAGTCATGCCGTGGTTGCTGCACAAGACTGGTACATAAGATCTCAACACTTATAGTAAGCTTTTTTTTTTTTTTTTTTTTTACAATCATTGCATAGCTATTGTATACTAATGTACAAAACATGCTGTTTTTCCATCCTTATCAGCCCTGATGTGGCAGACCATCAGTTACAGTTTGATCAGTACTAGCCCTTTTCTCTTTTCTCTTGCCTTCTCTTTGGCCTCTTGTATTTGTAGCTCTTTATTTATCTTCTTAAAAGAAAAAAACTAAAAAGACTTTTCTCTCATCCAAATCTTGCCTCCCTGTTTTTTTTTTTTATAAAAATACAAAGTACAAAAAACCTGCCTCTCTGTCCCTGTCTTGTCTCTCTTTTTTTTTTTATATGAGGAAATTGTAAACTTATTGATTTAGTTTACTTAAGTACAGATTACCTATGTAACGGTGTACTTTCTTAGCTTTCTTTCTCTGGTTTTTCTCCCTGGGCCTAGCCACTTGAATGCTATACCAAAGTTTCCCTCCCCCAAAATACAAGCTCATCCTCAGCCTTTTGCTGATAAATCCAAACCTCGAAGCCCAGGATCCTTCCTCAACAAAGGCTTTCCCCCCTTTTGAGTCCAAAATTTGTAAAAAGTCTAATGAGTCTGAGAACCCTCCGGGTAACTCTTCAAGCCATTCTTGTGTGTTTCTCTTCTTCTTAGGTATGTGAGCTCCGTCGAATACGTCTTTGAATCTGTAGGGGAGATAATCCACCCAAAACCATTCACGACCTGTACCAACATCAATGGGTTCTGCCGCCCATGCTGCCTCTGCTTCTGCCAACTGTTTATTAGTCTGTTTCTGTTCCTCCGGGGTGAGAGTGGCGGCTCCCAATTCTTTGGCCCAGTCTACAGCTTCTAGTAAATGCACTTTCCATGGGTCCTCTTCCCCTATCTTATCTTGTGATTGCCCTCTGTTCAAATAGCGCCCTGGAGAGGTGTCTTCTTTACTTGGTGAGCTCTCCGATTTTCCTGGCAAACTATAGAATAGAGTTTCCTCCAACCCTTCTAAGTGATCCCACTCAATTACTGTGATATTTTGGTCCTTAGTTCCAACTGTGTCTATTTGATCAAACAGGTCCCAGTCGACTACTTGGAAGGAGCAGTTTTGTCTGAGTGCCGGAGGCTCTTTATGCCAACCTGGTGAATCTGGTAGACAGATGGGTATGCAGACTCTTCTCCCTGCTGAATCCGGGAAACTTAGTACCTCTCCTTTTTGATGGGATAATTCTAACCTGATGTTATGATCTGCTAAAAAAGGACGGCCCAACACTGTATGAACTGATCCTCTGACAACAAAAAAGTTTGCTAAGTGTATATAGCCTGGTAGCACGTTGACCGGAATATTCTCAGCTAATCCCACGATTGGGGTGACATGCCCTCCGATCCCTTTAAGCCTCATGAATATCTCTGTAGTTACTAGCCCAAGCTGATCTGCTAATGTGTCAGGAATGATGTTCATTTCGGCACCTGTGTCCACTAGAGTACGTATTTTCCTTTTGTTAATTGTCATATCCACCATTCCAACAGGACACGCATATGTAAGGCCTCGTTCTTCTTCATCCTCAGAGGTTCCTAGTCCGGTGGAGCAGTGTAGTTCTACGTTGTTGGCTTTCTTCTCTGACCCATCATATTCTGGTCGTGACTCCTGTAGACCTTGGAGAAACTGTGGTGCGATTTTTACAATTTCTTCTAAAGTGAGCGTATAAGTTTGTTTATAAAATTTGTTCCTAATAGATTTATCCAAAGGCTCAATTGTGATTTCCTTTGCTCGCAATTCCCCTCTACTCTGCTTGGGGTTTTCACGGGATGGTCCGGTGGTCTTTTGTTTACTACTCTCCTCTTCTTCTAGTTCTTCCTCTTCCAACCATGATCCGGGGAAGCTTTTTCTTCTAGTGGGAGGTTTAATGGCCTCTTGATTTGGTGGTGGGGCTTTGCTGACAGATTCCTGTGTTTTAACTGGCATGGGCTGACTGCTTGCTTGCGGATTCTTGTCTTGTATTCTTTGTGACTTTCTGAGTCCAAAACCAATATTGTTCTGAAGTTCTTCTTCGCTGATATTAGCCTGCGGTGGGAGCCATGATCCCCATTCTTCTACTTCTATTACTGCTGACGTAGACTCTTGTACTGCAGTATTTTCGGTGCGGCTGTTGCTTTGCTCATCGTGGAACCTTTTTACCATCTCCTTCACGGAACAGTCCTTGTCTACCACAATTGGCTGTCTGTTTGGGTAGTAATACACGCCTTGATATCTGAACATCCGTCTATCCTGCATGTCTTGAGTATAGGCTTCACATTGGGATAACATGTGTTTCCCTTTGCAATAAAAGCATTCTACCGCCGTAAAGCGTGGTCTAGTATCCCCAAAACCCGGTGAAGAAGGCCTATTCAAATGTGGGGGTGCCGCTCTTGCTTGATACTCCAGGGAATTGTTGAGCTTCTTTATTGTCTCTTTTAACTCTTCTGTTTCTGCAGGATCTTGTATTTTAACCTTCTTTTTGGTAGAGTCTGATGAACTGGTTTGTGGCTCATCTTCGTCAAAATCAATAATGATGAGGGCTAATTCTACATATTCCTTGAGGATATCTAGTTCCGGGATTATATTCCTGCCATCTTTAGTCTTTTTGAGCTTTTTGGCATGAGCTAGTTCCTTAGTCACTTCCTTCTTGAGTTCTGCGGACAAAGCACTCCAAAGGGGATTCCCGCTATCGGGGTTTAGGTGGCTATAACCCATCCGTGTGAAGTAGTCGGTCATTTCTTCCAGTTCTCCTACAAATTTCCTGTATTCCAGCCTGGTTTTTATGCCCTGACCTTCTTGAGCCTTCTGAACTAATCGAGGTATGGCATCTTCTCTATACTTTCTGAATGGTGTGGCTCGTCCCCACTTGCGGGTCAATTCTTTCTTCAATAGTTCCCAGTCTCCCGTTTCATGCCCCTCCATCTGTTCTATAGCCTCACTGATTTTCTTGTTGTTGATAATGAGGGGTAGTTGGAATGCTAGATCCACTGTTCCCGCATTCTGTATAAAGGCTACCTTTTCTACTCTTCTGATGAATACTTCTACTTCGGTCCCATCAAAATGAAGGTTTGTCTTTTTTGCATCTAACATCACTCCCTTTTGCTCATCTGGTAACTTTATACTAGTCTTAGGTCTTCCTTGGCTAGATGGTGATGCCCCTTCTGAGTTTAAAAATGAATCATCTCCGGCTCCAATGGTTGTATCCAATCCTTGTGTTCTATCCTCAAAGGGTGTTGATGTAGCAAATCTTAGTCTTGATTCCCGTACTGGTGGTGTTTCCGGTATTGGTACTTGCTGCGGCGTATTCTGCTTAAGTAACAAGTTGACCGTGTCTTGTAGACCTTGCATCATTTCTTCCATTTTTGATATCTGAGCTTGCTGCTTCAAGATGATTGCTGATTGCTCCATACTGGATTCATCCGGTGTAAAGCTCAAAAGTGTTTGTGAAAACCTTTTGCTGAGTGTGGAAAGGGATGAATGAGGATACCTCTGCCTTTCCTGGATCACTAGACACTAGACAAGCCCACCAATCTCAGATTGGAAGGTTTAATAAAGTGATAGTGGAGTGTATCAAAAGATAACTGTGGCTTAACAGGTGGATAAAGGGTTTAACCCAGTTTTATAAGGGTCTAAAGGTTGATTTGAGAGTGAGAGAGTGAGTCTAGCTGATATTTCAATGGTAAGGGGATGGTATGTAAGGGTTTGTAAGGGTAGGGGGTATGAAATAGGTGGATACTAAACTGAGGGGAAAAACAACTGAGAGGAGAGCCTCTTAAATACACAAAGGTGAGGGATTTTAGCTTCAGGGGAACAAGAGAATGAGAGATTTTAGCTGGCCAGAGCTTTACAATGAGGGGATTTAGCTAGTCAGAACATGTACATGAGGTATTTTGGCTGGTTGAGCAACTTACATGATGTCATAAGAGTTATTTTAGCTTGAACTAGAAGTCTACATGAGGGTTTTATGCTGGTGTAGCATTTTACATGAGGTGATGTACTAGTATGCAAGCTAAGGTGAGGTGATGAGTATTACATGAGTGGTGTGAGATAGTGTGACAGCTGCAAGGGAGATTAACAAGTGACATAGCAACAGGACCAGCCTAGAAGCTACATATAGCAAGTGTCAGAAGATAGTGTAGTTATGTGTATACCTGTACTATAATGATGTGAGCATGTAGTTGTCCTGCAACGTGCATGTGTGTAGTGTGAATGATGTAATTTGTTGTTGGTGTTGAGTGTTGAAGTGTTACCATGGTGGGGAGTTGTGTAATTGAGTGTAATGATGGTCCAGAGTGTAGCTTCCAATCCAGTTGAGTTCCAGTGACGCCTCCAGTGGTGACCATGGGTGAAATTGACCATAGAATCCAATTCTTGAGCCATAATGGTTGATTTGTGAGTGTATATATGAGAAAAAAGGTGTAAAAAGTATGCAATTTGTAATAAAAGAAAAACTGTAAAATTTTTAAATGGCCCAGATGGCTACCCTTAAGGTATACCACACCGGGGTAGACATTCTTGACTCTAGCTTAAGTTCCGGGAAGAATTTCTTGAAAACTGCAGTTATTGCTTCCCTCTCTGTTGATCCCTGATCCTCCACTTTAATTTAGTCTTCTGTTGCTGAGGGAGATTTACTGTTGATCTTCTGAAGGTTACTTTAAGCCACTGTTGGGACACCAGATGTGAGAACTCCTTTGGGAATGGTGGCAGTCCTGCGAGGGGGAAATAGCAGATGAGGTATATCACGTATGTAATGATCTACTACAGCTGTTACGGCTGGTTTGAAAGACCTGCCCCTCTATTGTACTACACTAGAGTTAACACAACAATTTATTTATTGTTGTGGCAAAACTGATGATAGAGAAAACTATGTGTAGCAGTCTCTTATCAAACCTAGATCAACGTGGATTCAGCAGACTATTTGAGTGGAAATGTTGAGTAAGAGATGTTTTTTGTTTATATGTTTATGTATTTTGAAAAATGATTGACGTATGTACTGATGATGAATGTGAATTTATGAGATGATAGTGAGGAAAAATGTGACTATTGAAAGTGTCTTTCCCTTCCTCCTTGAATCTTGGTCAAGAGCACAATGGTTTAAGATCACTGTCTCTTGTTTAAGATCACAAGTTGTACTGGTTGCTACTTTCTTTTTCCTATGCTTCTCAATGTGTGAATGATCTCAATGGGGCACTTGATTAAGATCACACTGGTTAATGTATGAATTGATTGCTCTGTTCTGTCTGGTTGATGATCAGATGAGATGATCCAAAATTGGAATGAGGGGGGGAAAGCCCCTCCTTAAATAGTCTATTTTACAACCCGGCTGACTTGTGGTTCTAGCCCTAACCTATAACCTATAAATGGCCAGCTTGTGGTTCTAACCCTAACCTATAACAAATATGCATAAAATCCGGCCAAATTGTGGTTTTGCTATCTATACAAGATTCTCTGTGTACCTACATAACAATGTGGCCAACTTGTGGTTACCCTATGCAATGAATATTGAATATGTAAACAAACTAAGGCCAACTTGTGGTTTGCATTATGCAATAAGAATTTTGTATGCCAATAAAACTTAAATCCCAAATAACTTTTGACTGAGTGGAGCTAGACTAGTGGTTCCAGTGAGTGACTATGGGTTAAATGACCCGTAGAATGTGATTATGCCATAATACGCCTAAGAATATATGCCTTTCTACATATTGGACTGTGACTTTTATGCAATTTGATACTTGAAACACAATTGGCATACTACACCGCTATGCTGAAATACGCTAGATGAACCCCTAGCGGCAGCGTAGCAACCACAAAAAACTTCTTGTAATCCTGTAGCGTTAGCAGGCTGTTGGCGGCGCCACGCTAACAGTAACACTATGCCTTGTTACACTGCTTTTTGTGGAAAATCCTGCTAAATAGGGGTGTAACTCTGTGTAGTGGCATCAAAATTTCCCCCATGGCCATCAGTGATAGCATGATACCACTAACAGCTAATAGAAAATATCCATAGTGTCAGCAGTATTTTGCTGATGCTGAAGTCAGCGTAGCTGGCTCACTGTTGCCAATGGTGTGGATTGGAAAGTGAATGGAGATCAAAAGATAGTAATAGCAGGATTTAGGTGTCTCAGAAAAACTAGGGATGATGCGAACTCGACACAAGTCTCTGGCTGCGGGGGGCGCATCGGGCAGCGTAGCGCTGGCCAGGCGGTTCCCGAAAGGAACTCCCCGGCAAGGGGAGACTTGGGCCAGAGGTCGACCAACTCAGGTGCTGAGTTAGGATCGTTTCGGTGGGAGCGTCACAAGATTTGAAATCCTGACGCTCCCTCAAAACTTTTTAGATGTTTGGTCTCGGATTATTAAAAACCTGCCTGATCTTATTGATCAGGCAAAATTTCAAAGTTTTAGAATCACAAAAACAATTAATGATGATTTTATCAAATCAGCATATGAGCTTTCTTTTATGAATGACATAAGCGGTTTGATGAACTGGAACAAGACGAAATAGAACAACATGAATAATGAAAATGACTTACCTAGCTCAATAGAAGTGAGTTGAGAGTTCTCTACCGAGCTAGGAGGGGGAAGACTGAACAGTGTTGAAGTAGTCCAATGAGATAAATGCTTATGTAATCTAAATAGTGATTGGCCTTGTGAAACCTGTGTGCGGCGAGGTTTCACATGATGCAGCTTTTGTTCTGATGATGAAGAATTCATCTTTTAAATAGCTCTTATTTGAGTCCCTCTGACATGGTCCAATCACCCAAACAGTTAATCATTCAACAACCCCAGAGACCACAATATTAATCCTTTGAAGTTGTCAAAAGGCCACCTGTTCAAAACCCACTCTAAGACTTTAGGATCCAAGCACTCAACATCCCCCAGCTCATCAGGATGCATCTCACTGGCCCCTTCATACTCTGGACCCTTGTCAGCCTGTCAATGATACTTGCAGCCCCACCTGAAAACCAACTCCTGCTGCATGAAACCCAAGATTGCACTGGCAAAGTCTACTTGGCCAAGGGTAACCAACCATGTAAAAACAACTGTGGGCCATATCTATTGTTTATCAATTGCACTTGCTGGGAATGTAACAAGACACACCAAGAGCCAGCAGAGAGTTGTGTCAGATGTTCAAAACCAGCACTTGACCACACATGGCATCACCAAGACTGCAGCAAGCCTCATGGTGCTACCATAACTGTTCAAGAAGAAATGCCACCCTGTACTAAGTGTCAAAGAAGATTCTGGGCCCAACGCGAGAAGATGGAATGCAGAAATTGCCACGCTATCAACAATAGCATGACTTCTTGGCGGTCGCTGTGCAATGAATGTTCCAAATAACCAACTAGATATGAGAGTGAAGCAGACTGCAACAAATCAATGGAAAAAAGGGGAAAAAAAGAAATAAAAATGAATATGAATATGAATGAATGAAAGATAAAGGTGTGAAGGTTGAAAAGCTGGAGAAAAAAAAATTCAAAAAATTCAAAAGAATCAAAAAAGAGAGAAAAAAGAGAAAGGAAAAAAGGGGAGGGGGTGGAAGGTGGCCCACATTTTTCCATGAAATTCTTGTAAAAAAAAAAGAAGAAGAAGCTTGACAAAGCTCCCTCCAAAACAAAATGAGTTTGACCTCCAAGCGAACTGATCCAAAGAAAAAATTGATGAAAGGGATGAGAGAAAGCCTGACAGATTTTAGAGATGAAGGGAATTGAGGATTGATGGGTGAGACCCAAGATATTAAAAGTGGATGAAAAGGTTGGATGTCTGAGAAGAGTATATTCTTGTCCTGGGGGAAAAGATTGTCTAAATACCTCTGCCACTGGCCTTTCTCTTTTATATCATGGTTGTTCATCCAACTATGTCTTCAATTGGGTTTTTATCTTCTGTTGATCATGCCAGAAAATAAGGGAATATTTCCCTCATGGACTGGCCAGCACCAGGGTCATCAGCACCAGTCATTGAATTGCATGCATGTCTGATCCATTGTTATAACTGGCTGGTACTGACACAGGATTGAAGAAAGTAATAATTCTCTTTACTTGGATGGTATTGACTGGAGAGTAAAATTAACAGTGCGTGATCCTGGGTCGGACTAGAGATGGTCGCGGGGTATCCGTTTCGGATACCCGCTATCCCCTGGCGGATACCCACCAGCGCCAGCGGATCCCTGCCAGGGGATACGGATTGGGGTTCGGATGTGCCCTTTTCCCAGAAATTTGGGCGGGTATCTGGGTATCCCAAAGGATACCCAAGGCCAGAAGGGGGGATGGCCGGCTGGAAGGAAATCCTTCCAGTCGACGAGGTACATGTACCTTGTCGACCGGAAGGGGTTTCTTCCAGTCGACGAGGTATATGTACCTCGCCGGCTGGAAGGAAACCCTTCCAGTGGACGAGGCATGTACCTCGCCGGCTTCGACGAGGTACATGTACAGCCCCTTGACAGAAAAAATGGAACCCTTTGATTGGAGTCTAGAGGGCAAACCAATGGACTTGAATTTATTCTTCTTGGTGAAACTGTGGAGAATGAGTTCCAAAGAATGATTCTGAAAAATTGGAATGGAAAATCATTTGTAAAAATTTTGTATGTTTTTCCCCATTTTATGATTTTTTTGGTATTTTTAAATAATTTTTCAAAGTAGCTCAGAGAATTATGATCAACACAATTGCATGTGAAAAGAATGATTATAAATGAAAAATTGAGAAAAATCAATGATCCAAAGTTTAGAGAGTTGAAGAAGTTGGATTGATATTGAAATTGAATTCAATTTCAGTGCCTGATTGCAGGGTTGGTCTGGTGGATGACACAATCCAAACATGCTTAAAAAAGCTGTTGATTTTTTTTATATAATTTTTCATTTATAATCATTCTTTTCACATGTAATTGCATTGATCATAATTTTCTGAGCTACTTTGAAAAATAATTGAAAAATACCCAAAAAATCAGAAAATGGGGAAAAACATACAAACTTTTTACAAAATATTTTCTGTTTCAATTTGTCAGAATCATTCTTTAGAGCTCATTCTCCACAGTTTCACCAGGAAGCATAAAATGAAGTCCATTGGTTTGGCCTCTAGACTCCAATTAAAGGGTTCCATTTTTTCTGTCAAGGGGCTGTACCTTGTCGACTGGAAGGAAATCCTTCCAGCCGGCGAGGTACATGTACCTCGTCGGCCGGAAGAAACCCGTTCCGGTCGACAAGGTACATGTACCTCGTTGACTGGAAGGAAATCCTTCCAGCCGGTCCCTTGCCGGCCGTTTAAAGGGCGGGTATCCGAGGATACCCGCCAGCGGGTTCGGATGCGGATGCGGATGGTTATTTTGCTGCAAAAAGCAGCCAGATATCCGCATCCGCGCGGATATCCGGATGCGAATTGACCATCTCTAGTCTGGACTTGGAGAGAGCTGCATAGAAAAGGCTGGCTGGCTAGCCTTCTAGAAAAGTCAAGTCAAGAAACAAAAATAACTTCTTTTTTTTCTGAAAAAAAGATGCATGCAATACAGCACAGCTTGTGAAAAAAGCTGTGCACGCTTTTCTCTGCTGATTTTGAGAGGTTTTGGCCTAAGAATTCTGACAAGCCAATTTGTTCCAAAATATTTTTCTTTTTCTTTTCTTTTCTTTTCTTTTCTTTTCTTTTATTTATTTATTTTTTTTTGATTGAGTTTAGTTTCTTCTATATCTTGATCTGCACTTGCTCAAGCTTTCAATTTCTACTTTTTTGCTCTCTGCATTTGAGAAGACACACTGGAGAGTTAGCCTGATATAAGTTCCCTGAAGAGGAACAAGAGTTGGCTGCAGATGTATGATATAACCGGCTTGGCAAGAGTCCTTATAGTCTTTCCAAGAAGGTTATGGACTTTTTAGGCAAGAGGAGAAAGAAAGCCTTCTTGTCAAGCAGGTTATGGACCGTTCACAGACCTAGAAACTCCTGTTCCTCCCAGGGGAAGTAGCAGCCTGCCTCCCAGGACTGGCTCTCAACTGCTGTAAGACTCAAAAGTGGTTATGAAAACCCTTTTGCTGAATGGAGAAGGGTATGTTGGAGTTGCAAGCTCTGCCCTTCTATGCTATCAGAACAACAAGACCACCAAGCTTAGCTTGGCAGTTATATTTATCGTGATAGAGGATAGTTCAAGATGAAGCTTCCGAGTGATGTGTATAAGGGTCTGAAGTTGTTAATGAGTGATGATTGTATTGATGGAGTTGTTGTTCAAAGCTTTAATACCAAGGCTTGGAGCTCTGGGAGCGCTATGCTTCAACCAGTAATGGTATGTGAGGCAAGTTATGGGCACTTGGCACTTGTTATGATGATGAAACTGTTATGGTTGTATTTCAATATAATGTATTGTTATGGCTGGCACTTGTATATAATCTGTAAGGGTGGTTGAGATGATCTGGTCCACTGGTGGGATGATGGAGGGAACAACTGGCAGGCAGAGGCCTCCTTATATAGACAAATGTGAGGGATTTTAGCCCCAGGGTACAGGCTTTTGAGGCATTTTGGCTGGCCTGAAGATCCAATGAGGGATTTTAGCTAGTCTAGTACATGCAGGTGAGGGAATTTGGCTGGTGAGAGCACTGCCTTGAGGGAATTTGGCTAGCCTACAAGGTCCTACTACAAAGGAATGCATGTGCACCTACAAAGGAATTCAATATGCACTATGTGCCAATAAAGGAATTCAATACAACACACAAGGAATTCAATATTCAATATGCATCCAGTATTCAA